CATGCCATTGCGAAGCTATTATTCCTGCTAGCTAATTCATACCACAATGGTTAGGATAATTAATATATACATTTTTCCAGCTTTATTTTTTTAAATAATTAGTATTTTAATAGAGACAATTAATTTCTAAGCTAAATAGCTTAGCTAAGCTAATTTGCTTGGCATTAGCTTGACGAAGCTAATTATTAAATATACTTATTGTTTTGGCCTATTAGCTTGAAAATAATTAACATTGCAACCTAGTCGTTGAAAGCAACAATTGGAGTTGCTCTAAGAATCTAGGTGTCACAAAATATAAATAAAAAAATGAATACACTAAATTTCCCTTTTGCTATGTAATAATTAATTATTTAAAAAATGAACTTCATGAATTAATGTATTATTTATAAATGACTTAGACTATTATTTGAGTTATTTCTCCGTAATTGAAGATATTAAATAACTAATTTATAAGATCAGAGGATTAGTAAATCAGTAGCTCAACACATAAAAGACAAAGTGTAATGATTATTATTAGACATTTGAGAAAAAATACAGTCATTTGCCTTGTCCAACCTTTGATTGCAAGTAACACATTTTTTGGTTAAAGGGTAGTGGATGGCTGGATGCAATATGTAGTCAAATTAAGTCATATTAGGAATGCAAGCCAACTAAATATAGTATTCGACAGACGCACAATATAATAACTCTTTCCAAGTTTTAGGTATGGCTAAGTTTCCAAGACTCTACTAGGTGCCTATGTAATTTCTGATGTAATTTCCATCCAATACATTTACCTACCTAAAAAAATTTTAACACTAATTAAAAATTTGAAACTAATAATATGTTTAATGCAGTCAGTAGGACGAAAAAATGAAAAAGGGTAATTTGAATGAAACTATTAATAGGTAATTAGGTATAAGTGAATAGGACGAAAAAAAATAAGGGTAAGGTGAATAAGTAGAAAAATACAAATGAAACAACTAACATAACCACATGTCCACATGTGTAGTCAACTCAAAACAAACAATATTTCAGGGATTGTAGACTGAACTTGCTTAACTGTAGGCTCAACCTACATTTTCCTTTGGTATCATGAAGCTAGATGGTAGGTTTCATTTTCAAGGAATTGGATAAAACCTACCATCGGTAGGTTTCATTTTCAAGGAATATGTATAGAGTTTGGCTGAGTTGAGGAGACGTTGAACACAATTTTGAAATAGGATTACATCGGCTTACAACTCATTTAAGATAACAACAAATTTGCACCTCATGCACTATATAAATTACTTTTTTTATTTGTATCAAACAAGCTGAATATATAATGACAATACATAATGTCATTAATTTGGTTAAATAAAAATACGTTTTCTATTACATGAATCGATTTGAATTACAATATATTTTATAATGAAATATATCGAATAGTTTGGTAAATTACAATATAGGAAATTTTGTCAAAAACTACCAATTAAAGTGCGTGTTTTGAAAACAACTACCTATTAAAAAAAATTTTAAAAGAACTACCACAAAGTTGTAAAAAGTTTAAGTAGCACTACCGCTTTAATAATTCCAACTAGAATATTCGGCATGTAGGTTCTACTTTTTACCTTTACCTCATAAAATCATCATCTAAATTAACTAAATTACCCTTCATAAAGGTAAAAAGTGATAAAAAGTGAGACCCAAATACCGGAGATTTTAGCCAAAATTGTTAAAGTGGTAGTGCTAGTTAAACTTTTTATATCTTTGTGGTAGTTCTTTTAAAAAAAATTTATTAGGTAGTTGTTTTCAAAACACGTGCTTTAATTGGTAGTTATTGACAAAATTTCCTACAATATATTTCAGATGGAAAAAAGTAATGTATTATGCGAATTATTATTAGGTAGTCAGGACTTATAACATTACAAAAAAAAAATGTGATGTTAATAAAAATCACTTTGTGATTGATTGATTTTTTTTAAAAAAAATAATCAAAGTCTTACTAATAACAAATAAATTTATTATAATTATGATTTAAATTTAAAAAACAAGACTACCAATTCATTGTCTTATTTACTAAAAATATTTTTGTTTTAAATTCAAACAACGTGACATAAATTTCTGTAAATAAAATTGATCAAAATATTACAAAAATATAAACAGCTGCGAAATATATGATACAGCTTTAATTTTTGTTTTAACATTGAATTAATGAAATGGAAAGATGTGTTAAAACCTGAAATTTAGCAGTACCTATCACAACAAATTGATATACGGCTTTGAGTATAAGGATGATGTTGAGGTCCATGCTGGCAATCCAATGCAAATAAGGTCAACATATTTCAGCCGTTAATTATCTTAGTCCATCACATGTAAGCCACGCTGGCAATCTATGTCTGTGGATAATTTTCAGCCGTTGATTATCTAAGTCCACCACAGATTGCCTTTGATTGTGGTTTATTTTCTCATATACCTAGTTAGATATTCAATAATGATATTTAAACTTAACTATGTAGTTATTCTGAGTTAATTTAAATAATATTACTAATCATTGATATTATGAACTGATTATAAAGTAAAGTAAATGTTTAGATTTGAGTAGGGAAAAAGCTAATCGGATCGGATTGGGTAACGGTTACTTTGGTGACTAATACCCATAACCATACCCGGTAACAATTGATCGGAAAGGGTACCAAAACCGTTTTGGTTTAGGGTTCAGAGGGTTTAGGGTTTAATAATAGTGTATGATATATGGTTGTTTATGGTTAAGGGTTTAGATTTTTATGTATCAAAGAGTTTAGGGTTGAATATGGTGTATACGGTTTATGGTTTATCGTGGTATATGATTTAGGATTTAGGGTTCAGGTTTAGGGTTTAAATGTTAGGGGTTTAGGGTTTAGGGTTTTGGGTTCGTTTTGGATCGGATTTAGGGTTTAGGGTTTAGTGAATATTAGGGTTGAGGGTTTAGGGTTTTGGGTTCGTTTCGGGTTTCGTGTTTAGGGTTTAGGGTTTAGTGAGTATTAGGGTTTAGGGTTCGTTTCGGGTTTTGTGTTTAGGGTTTAGGGTTTAGTGAGTATTAAGGTTTAGGGTTTAGTGACTTTTAGGGTTTACGGTTTTAGGTTATATGGTTTAGGGTTTATATCGTGGTTTATGATATAGGGTTTAGGGTTTAGGGTTTAGGGTGTTACGATTTTAGGGTCTATTGTATTTAGTAATTATTGAGTTTTGGGGTTTAGGTTTTAGGTTGTAGGGTTTAGGGTTTATATTGTTTTAGGATTTAGGTGATTAAGGTATATATATCGTGATTTATTTTTTAAGGTTTTACGGTTTTAGGGTTAGGGTTAGGGTTAGGGTTAGGGTTTAGGGTTAGTGTTGAGGGTTTAGGGTTTACGGTTTTAGAGTTAGGGTTTAGGGTTTAGGGTTTAGGGTTCAGGGGATAGGGTTTTTCGTGGTCTATGATTTAGGATTTATGATCTAGGGTTAGGGTTTAGGGTTTAGGGTTAGGGTTAGGGTTTAGGGTTTACGGGATAGGGTTTTTCGTGGTCTATGATTTAGGATTTAGAATCTAGGGTTAGGGTTTAGGGTTTATTGAGGTTTAGGGTTTAGGGTTTAGGGATTACTGTTTTATGATTTAGGGTTTAGGGTTATAGGTTAGGGTTTAGGGTTTATCGTGGTTTATGATTTAGGAGTTAGGGTTTTAGGGTTAGGGTTTATGGTTTAGGGGTTTAGGTTTTAGGGTTTAGGGTTTCAGGGTTTAGGGTTTAGGATTTAGTGTTTAGGATTTAGGGTTTAGGGTTTATTGTGGTTTAGGGTTAGGGTTTATTGTACCACATTATATTAAAAATTATTTACTGTCCATAATTAATTACCATACCACTTTTTATTATCAGTGTTTAGATAATTGCTAAAATCAATCAATTAACCTATACTAAAAGCGAACCCTAATTTCCCGCTTTTTTTTTATTTCTTTATTTTTTTTATTTTTTTTTGCCAAATTTGTATGACTTCTAATTTTTAACCTACAATAATACTTGTTTCCATTTTAATCTAATCATACTCAATAATTTTTTATTTTTAACACATATTTACTAGGAATCTTTTAGTTTTAACTACAGTAACATAGATTAAAATTAAGGTATTGAAAATTTATTTTAATTAAAAATAGAAAAAAAAAATTTAATTAAATTTTTTTTCCCTCCAAATTAAAATTTATTTTAATTAAAAATAGAAGAAAATAATTTGGTATCATAAATTTACCAAAAAAAAATAGTTGTAACAAAATAATAGTCTTTTTTTTTGTTAAAAAAACAAAAACCTATTATTTTGTTACGTCAATTTTTTTTTTTTTGGTAAATTATTTTTAAATTAACATCATTCTTTACATTTTTTGTTATTAAGTCTAATTATTACCGTGCATGCACTAGTACAAAATTGAGTTTATGTAACATATGTTGGTAACACTTATTGAAGTGCAAAATTAATAGATATATAAGTAACACTTTGGTAACATTTTTGTAGAATGTAACACTTTGGTAACATTTTTGTAGAATGTAACACTCAATGTAACACTTTTAAAATTAGTATCATTACAAAGTAATACTTTTCACATAAGTAACATTATAGAGTAACACTTTTAAAATAGGTAACATTTTATAGTAACACCTAACAAGTTATACTTTATTTTTATAATATCCCTAACCTATAAAGCCCCAACATGACATTACTCTCTTTTCCTATATTGCCCTCTATTAAAGACAACTATGTAAATTGACCTTGTTGTCTTTGGCCTTCACTAACAGTAGTGACTAGTGAACTAGTGAGTAGTGAGTACTATAACTTTTTTTTTTGAAGCAAATGAGTACTACAATTCTTTCTTTCTTTCTTTTTTTGAAGCAAATGAGTACTACAATTCTTTTTTTTTTCCAGGAAAAGTATTACTGAACAACTCTACAACTACAAGTAATAAATTCCTCAAAAAAAAAAAAAAAGAAAAAGAAAAAATATTCTTCAAGTAATAAAAAAATAGATAAATAAAACAAAAATAAAACCTTTTTTTCCTAAAAAAAAAACTTAAAAATTATATATCGCTGGATTCTCAAACCCCCCCCCCCAGAAATGATGAACCCTAGATCGCCTTCAATTGATTGCTCGAATCTCTTGTTACTCGATTACTCATTTCTGATCGATTCTCTTTTGCTTGAAGTGCTTCCAATTGATACGAATGAATTGCTAAATCGCCCAAATCGAAAGTTTCAGGTATCAATTTTATTATTATATGTTGAGTTTTTGATTAAGTTGGAGAAATTGTGTGATAATTTGTTGATTTCTTGCGATTTGAATGTCACTTTCAGTTTGCCATATCAATTTTGTTATTACTGAATTTTCTCGTTTCACTCGAATTTTCTGCGTGTTAGATTTTGCTGCATTTGTGATGTTTTTGTTAAATTCTTAATTGTATGAACTGATTTATGTTTATTGCCTTGATTTAATTGGGAATGCAGTTAATTGATTATGTTGTAGAACTTTGACTTAAATAGTCATCCGTGGCAAGGATTCCATGATTATTATTACGTTATTTTTTCCCTCTAATCCACAGTTTATAATTAACTTTGATTTTTGACAATTGATATTTTTGAATTGATTTGCTATTAGTTGATGTCAGATAATAAAAGAAATTGGGTCAGATTGAGGTACTTTGATGATACTTATAACTGCAGTTATGAAATTCTGATAACCTGATTTCAATGATTGTTTTTGGGTTTTCTCTTGGATTTATAATTAACTTCGATGTTTAATTATTGTTATTTTTGAAAAATTTCTGGTTTTCAGTGCCTCTATGGATTTTAAGATCAGAGTCCTACAGGCCTACTGCTGTTGTAAGGGAGGCTATGAAAGGGTGGGTGTCTCAGCGATCCTATTCCTTTGAGATGTTCAATAAGGTATGGCTCAATGTATCCCTTTGAATTATTTATTTGTTTTGGAGGATGAACATTACACAAAGAAAGTTAGAGTTAAGAATAGTAGAATACTTTAGAGAAATAAAGTACTAAAACGTGGCTCGCATTGAGAGATTTGCCAAGAAAATTGGATGGGCTAGAATTGTACATAGCTTTGGATTTAAATTAATTAATGAATGAGTATGTCTATGTATGTTTATGTGCTATACTTGAGGTGAAGGAAACTTCAATTGAAAATGGTTTCACTAGAATTGCTTAGAAACGTCCATACGTTTTTGAAGGAATGAGCTCTCTATTCCATGAGTTTGTCATTTAGAGTTCAAGCCAACCTCTTATTTAAAATAAAATTTCAGAAGCCTTTGTACAGGGCTAGTCTGGATATATGTGAAAACCCATATATATTTATGAAAAGGTATAGATAAGTAAAATTATATAATTTACTTTGTGTTAGTATTAGGTTTCTTTCGTTGATTATTGTAAGTATAACGAGGAAAAACTATAATATATTTAATATGACATGCATTAGATTTGCTTTTCTTTCTATTTTCCAGGCCTTTAATTTTTCCACCTGTGATAGTGAAAATTATCATGATTAATAACTTCCTTACATGCTCTTTTGCTCTTCTTGTTCTCGGGCATTTGAATTTGATGAGCCCATGATGAATTATGGACTTTGCTTTGAAATATGGATATTGCTGAATGGTGAATGCAATTTGATCATCTCCTTAATCAAAGTAGCGCTTGTTGGTTCAGGGATGATGTTGATTGATGAGAGCATATCTATCATGTTTTATATATCTGAAGGTTTGTAGGAACGTGGATAATTATGCAAGAGATAGTGGTCTGGTATGTGTAGGACAGTAGGAGAGTTCTTCAAGAGATAGTGGTCTGGTATGTGTAAGACAGTAGGACAATAAATATCAATTTTTATTAATTGATGTTTATTAATATCTGAGGCAAGCTAATAAACAATTTTGATTACTCAAGGTGATCCTCTCATCCCCTTATTGATTTCATTATGCTCCGTGCTAGCTTAATTTAGTTACCCTTACATTCTTGTTTTTGCTTTTGCTTAAGTAAACTTGTTTTTGGTGAGATTCCATTTTAATTACTCGAGGGGATCTTCTCATTCCCAACTATGAATTAATATGAATATGCCATATGATGATGACCTTTAACTATGAATTAATAATTTTGCTCTTGTATTGTGTAGGATTAGGAGAAAATCAGGAGGATGAAAGTGCTAGCTGCAAACATAGAAGAAACTGTTCGTCTTGAGTCTAGTTCAGCTGTTCAATCCCAGTTCGTGGACACGAAAATGGTCTTTGGTCCCAGTATAGCTGTTGCAACTCAGCAAATAGATTTTCAACACAAGTGTTGCCACTGTTTTCGCTAGCTAGCTGATGCTATGTGCCAATATTACTATTGTTTGCTGCATCCACGCTGACTGTTTTTATAGATATTAGAGGTCCATAAGAGACCGTAGTTTACTTTCTTTTATTTTGATTATTATTTGTGTTCATGGATATTTTTTATAAGAATAATGGAATTAATTATTTCAATTTAAATTATTGTCTATTGTATATGCTTATTTCATATTCGTTGTTGTTGTACATTTTAATATATTTTATATTATAAAAATTAATAATAATAATAATAATAATAATAATATAAAATGTCACCTATTAATTAATAAGGTGTTATATTAGTTTGCAAAAGTGATGCATAATGTCAAATAAAGTGCTACTAAATATCAAAAGGGGATTGAAAAATGTTACCTAATTATCAACAAAGTGTTACACATTAGTTTGAAAAAGTGATACATAATGTCGAAAAAAGTGATACTATATGATTGAAAAATGTTACTAAAGATATGTAAGTGTTACATAAGAAATAAAAAGTAACACTTTAAAAATGATACTTATAATATAAAAAGTGATACATAAGAGGGTTAATAGTAACACTTTTGAAAGTGTTAGCATACATTACCCAAAGTGTTACATAAGACCTTAGGTAACATGGGCGGAAGTATCACCCAATAAAGTGTTACCTATAGTCTATGATAACACTTTTATCACTTTATGTAACACTTTTTGGGTGTTACTTGAGGTTAGTTTTGTACAAGTGATGGCACGGGAGTTAACCTAGCTAGTTTTATCCTATGGGTAAAACCACTGCCTTATGATTATTATTTATAATTGTAGAACTATTGGGTCAGCAATGGTTCAAGTTCAGCTGGAAGCATTGGTCTCTGTGATTTTTTATTTTTGATAAGTCACATCACATCAATTTTTTACCAGTCCCTATGTCATTATTTTTTATATGAATATTTTGTGTTCACTAATTTGTCTTATGCTTGCAATGTGGTTTGTGTTGTATAGGAATATATATTTACTATTTTTATGTACATAATTAATCAAAAACACTAATAAACATAATCATTAATTGGCTATCGATCAAAAATCATTAATCAAAATCCAAAGTTGGCTAATTGGCTAATTATTAATATGGCTAATTGGCTATCAATCAAAAATCATTAATCAAAATCCAAAGTTGAAGATAATATCATAATCACACTCCAAAAAAATACGTTATTCTGCTTTTAATTTTTTTATTAAACCCTTGATTAAAAAAGTTGAAACATGGTGTTAGTTGAAACATGTTGTTATTTACATGGAAATGTGCTTACTTTTAAGTAGGACCAATATCCTAGGTAAGAATTTGGCTCTTACACATGAACATTAGGGAAATCTGCCGCCAAAATTTGGCCCATGTGTATTATTATCATTGGTTGAGTCATTCTATATAAGAAGATGGTGGGAAAACCATAACTCCAAAAGTTCAAATGGCAAAGAATAAGCATTGTGGTGCTAGGTTTACTTCATGTCTTAGGTTTACTTCATGTCTTGGGGGTAGGTTAATGAAGCTATCCAAAAAAAATCATAACTCGGGTTACAAAAATTGTCCACAGTCTCCCTCTCCATCCAAAAAATGTCCACCACTTCCATCAAAGCCCCCAATGAGTCATCTCTCTCTGTCGGAAGCCATCTCAACAACCAAAATCCCCAAAAAGAAGTGTTCTTGTAACAGAATTCCTCGTCAGGAAATAAATCTAAGGGTATGGAATGTAACGCGAAATGCTTCATTGAGGATTATGGAGCAGCTGTATGGAGTACCCCCGCCATGTCTTACAAAGAGAGGAAGGAATTAGCTGCTGGCTTTGCTTTGGATGAGGCAACAAAGAAGGAAAGAGACCCTAACATAACTGAAATAGGTGGTCCCAACAACCACACAATTGTTGTTAGGAGTAGACAACGTGGTGACCATGGTGTGGTCTATGAAGTCAGTGAAGATGAAACATTCGAGGAGGTGTATGCGGATTATGCTTCCCGGTTGGATCTGTCAACACAGAACATAATTCTCAAGAAGAATGGGTGGGCAATTGCTCCCACTGATATTGTTGCTAGGGCTGGAGTTCGAACCGGAGATATAATATACGCCCATGTCGTGGTATTCATAGTATATTTACAGTTATCTAATTTTTAGACGGTTTTTAGTAAGCATATAGAGTTATTTACGCTTTATATTAACATAAGCACATTATTAATGCAGAATCCTTCGCATAATATGAATGCCGGTGCTAAGTTGTTCTACATCAAGAACACTTGCACTTCACCAAATCAATTGAAGGTGTATGGGAAGCTCTCTTCCAAGCTGCAAAAATTGTTCAAGAAATGGGGAGCCGAAATCAACAAGGACCCGAAGAGCTTGACTTTGATCCACCAAGACAGGAGGTTGTCAAGACGTCAAACCATTGGTGATGCTGGTATCAAGAACTTCGACTATGTTTACGCATATCCAAAGAATTAAATCCTTCTAGGGGTGGGTCGGGACTCTTGGCCGGAAGATTTAATTGTTGAGCTGGAGTTATAGTTGGCTCTTTTGAGGCCCTTTTGTGTGGACTTTGTGTTGGCACTTATGAGGCCCTTTTGTGTAGGCCCTTTTGTGTATGGACTTTGTTTAGTAGTATGGAATCAGGCCCAGTAGTATGGATAGGGCACTTTTGTATGGATCAGGCCGAGTAGTATTATTTATGAAGCCCAGTAGTATTATTTATGAAGCCCAGTAGTAGTATGGATCAGGGCCAATAGTAGTAGTTGGTCTAGTAGTGAACTTATCTCTAGGTGTTATGATATGTATTATCAAATGTATTCCAGCTCTTTTAAATGACAAGTACATTGTTACTTTAAGATGCATGTTCCTACATTGTTACTTTAAGATGCATGTTCTTTCAGTGAGTTTCATATAGATGTAGATGTTACACTAAAACACTGTCAAAATAAGTTCAAGTCCTAAAACACTGTGAAAATAAGTCCAAAAACACTGTCAAAATAATTCCAAGTCCTAAAACAATGAATAACCAAATCAATAAAACACTGACAAACAAAGTCCATACTGAACATGGAATCAGGCCCAGTCCAAGTACAAATAAGTCCATTGAAAACATGGAATAAAACACTATCAAACAAATTGCATACTGAACATGGGCCTACTAAATAAATCTAAGCCCAAGTACATTTAAGTCCATTGAAAACATGGAATAAAGGCAAACTTGGTTGCCAAACTTGGTTAGATAAATCATGCCTACAGTAATTCAGGTAGATAGATCAAAACTGAGTAAATAGATCAAAACACAATCCATATAAACTAAGTAGATAGAATAATTTTAACAATTTATAATTTTCACAATCCATATTTTTCACATAAAAAAATTACAATACGCATATTATGACATAGAATAATATTCACATTCAAACAAATACAGCCTTATATGGAACTATGAAATTATTGCCTAAATCATACACACCTGATGTTTCTACTGGCTGAGAAAAATTTATATAACTTCTTAGAAATTGCCACAACGTTGTGGGTTACACAGTTGTAAGGTAGGTGTTTGAACCAGTCCTCATGTAATGCGGCATACAACTGCTTCGAATAACCACCGCCCTGAAAAGACAAGCCAAAACGAAAAAAAATTAGAAATATTAAATACATGCCTTCCTTTCTTTCTTTCTGGCAGCACACATTGTAGGTTGTAGATAGATCTAACTCACAGCTATTTTTATTAGTCGAATGGAGGGTGAGTGATAGCCGACACGCAACAAACACAACTGTGTTGGCTCTCCAAATTTTGCTACAAGCCAAGTACAATTTCTACGAGGCATATCAACGACATCTTGGACATGCATCTGATGAATTGTTTTTTGCGTTCAATGATTGATTAAAAAAGAAGCAATAAGGACTGGAAAAAATAAATAAATTATAACTAACCTGTGACACTATTCCCATGAACTGACTATGTGGGGAATCCAGAAAAGTATTTAGGGCACGCAAAAGCAAACTAAAACCCTCCACACCACCAGCAAAGAATATCACCTCCGTCTGCATAACCGTACTTCGGAACTTTAGGCACATATGACTTGCATTCAATTCCACAAAAATAATAAAAATACCATGTAAAACATTAACCTGGGCAATTGCATCCATTTCATCGTGATTCTGCCATGATTCATGTAATTCCATGCCAAATGCACTATGAAACTGAAACTGCTTGTTTGTTGTCAGTCGAGTAAAATTGAAAATAACAATTTCATAAGTACACATGTATTTAAAACTTACCCAAGCAACAACCCGTCTTAACAAAGACACCAACTCCGAAGTTAAATTCCTTAAAGTGACATCACAAACAAGGATATCAGATAACAAATAACGCCTCAAATAACGGTAAATACAAGTTGCTCGCTCCTCAAATAACATTCCATATACTAATATCCTTACCACGTCGTTGTGCCCCCGGAGAAATAACTGGACAGACCACTTAGTAATTGACAAAACTGAGGAACTTCTGTGTTTGGAACGTAAGTAGGGTTGGTTGAATTAAATGGAACAACATCTGAAAGTGAACTTGCCTTAAAGCTCCTCATACTAGTCCGCTAAGGCATTTTTACTTGATGTGGAAAAGAGCACTTTGGTGCACCACGACGCTTATTAGGATTATGCCCATTCTCGAGAGGTTGACCAACAAACTGATGGGCCACACCCTGTGTACTCACGACACATGTTAACAACAATTAGAAGCCACAACAACACAGGTTATCAAACAATAAAATTTATTACCTTTGTCATGGAGGAAGGTCCATCACTATCCCGAGCTTCCTTTGGATGAATCTCACCATATGCTACATCTAAACTCTACGTAAAAATATCACAAATTCAAAACCCCATTGTATTAAGAAAATATAGTAAGTTAAATCATTACACTAGAGTAAACTAACCCCCAACTTTCCATAATCACCTCCGCTCGCAATTCGATCTTGTTTAAAGGCAATACTAAGCTTATTCATGTCCCAAACCTTTATTCGGGGAAATTCACCCCATTGCACAGGAAACCAATTTAACCTATCAAGATAAAAAACCTACATTGAACAGGCATCATAGTTAGAATACATTGAACAGCCATCATAGTTAGAATACACCCATTACCAGAACAAGAAATATAATGACTTGATTTGAATATTAAAATACATACCACTGCGAATATGGTACACCCACCACATCCACCTGCAACCCCAGTAGAATAAAATCGTCGAGCAAAACTCCCAACACTCTCCATCAACTTTTTTAATACTAATTCACACCAGTTGTACGAGCCATCATTCATGGCACAAGTCAGGGCATGTAATAAATCACAAGCCAGCCTAGGAGACTGTGTAGGACATAAAACCATTTCTAGTGACAAAAACAAGAAAAGTGTCTTAAATTCCTCCTCCTCGTGTGCCTCCCATTTCCCCTCCACCCTTTCCATCATTTTACCATTCACAGGTATGCCTATAGAGGTATAGACTACACCTGAATCCTTCTTTGACCTTGTCCTAGTTGGTACACCATACTTTTCTTGGATTCTAATGACCTTTTCATGCATCAATGAGAACTTTGATTTACCAGTGGGAACAGTTAAGCCCCCGTTGGGAATGCCTAATACCCAATGCACTTGATTAGCGGATAACCTGAATTGTTTACCATCCGGAGCAATAAAAACTTTGTTCAGAGGATCAATACGAGTCATCAACCAATACCCCAACTGACGAGGTAGGTGTATGTCAGTTGGAACAGTCAATAATCCACCTAACCCCATTTCATTATCCCAACGAGTTCTTCTATCATCAAAGGTGAGGCATATTCTTGAGAAAGTCTCAATACGGAAATTCATATTAGGTGGCTGCACAAATTGGGATACAAAGCAAGATAAAAAAAGACAATTCATTCTTCAAATTTTTTTAACCAACAGAACACTACAAACACACATACCCTGCCAAACACTTCACCTTGTTTCTTGATAACCTCCCCCATTCCCTTCACTTGACCACCAACGCTACTAGAGTCATCCTTGAGTCAAATTTCAATTCAATAATTCAGCAAAATATCAAACCTTTTAATAATACAAACAGTAACAACTTAGCCAAACCATACCAAAAAGTGTTCACTTCGAATAGCTTTCCCCAAAGGATTTTCTCGATTTTTAGCCTGTTAAACAGTTTCACAATTGAATTACATCTTACAATATCATTACCAATCCAAACCAAAAATTTATTCTGATTTACCATTGGTGGGAACACATGTATTAACAATTGACCACGGTTTGTACAACAAACTGTAGTTCAGCTTCTCAATCCATGTAGAGACAGTTAGTCAAATTGATTGCCTCCATTTGGTCGTATATTATTAAACAGAGTTGTATTCCCTTACACCAATGGGAGAGAACTCTTCCCCAATTCGGCCAATATTAAGACCCCTGAAAGTGTTTCAACATATAAGATGTGTAATGCATTCAATAGAACATTTCACAAATTCAGCTATAGACCATTTCAGAAAATCAGCAAAATCAGCAAAAAATCAGCAATACAGCATTTCAGAAATTCAGCAATAGATCATTTCAGAATTTCAGAAATAGAGCATTTCAGAAATTCATCAATAGATCATTTCAGAAATTCATCAATAGATCATTTCAGAAATTCAGCAATACAACATTTCAGAAATTCAGCAATACAGCAATTCAGAAATTCAGAAATAGAGCATTTCAGAAATTCAGCATTACAGCATTTCATAAATAGAACAATTCAACAATAGAGCATTTCAGAAATTGAGCTATTGAGCGTTTCAACAATTGAGCATCTCCTCAATTGCGGCGTAGAGTAATTGAGCAAACCAACGGAGAAATTCAACAATTGAATAGAATTAAAACGACAGATTGACATAAAAGTTCATCCCACACTACATCCCTTAATAGCCATTAGTACATACCTCAAAAGCGACGAACTACTAGCTCAGCTGAAGCACAGCGAACGTCTTTAGCACAAATCAAGCACGGGTTTCAATATAGTCACCTAACAACAAAATGTTCACAACATTGCGAGCTCAAAATCAGTGGAAGGAAGCAGAAATCATCCACCACGAAGAAGATTCAAGTATCGCCCTCGCCTTCTCACTCCTAGGGTTTTGAGTTCTCAGCTAACTGTTTTTGTGAAATTCCACGTTACAGTTGCTCCGTTAGTGTTAGTGGAAGTTAATGCTCTAATGACTATTTCACCCCTCAATTTTATACTGTCTTGACGATTTTAGCCCTGAGATTAACATTTTATGAAAATCTCGGAGAGCAACTTGTATTTACCGTAAATATCCAGTCTTTCTCCTTCAACAATATTATTGGATGATACAAAGCTTGTCCATGCATCATCAATAAAACAACCACCACAATAGACTCTAACTGGACCTGTGAATTTTAAAAGAAACCTTTCCAATCTGCAGGTTGTGGCTGAAATAAAAAAAACACACAAAAAGAATGAAAACATTAAATATTTACTAAGGCACAAAACAAATGTATAAGTATAAAGCTTAATGTATTTACCAAACTAAGTCGATAAATTGATCTGAACTTAACATAACATTTTGCCAAATTTTTCATAGAAATCAACCATTGTCTTCAAGATTGTATAAAAGAACAAAAATATAACTTAATGCAAAGTTAATGATAAAAGACTCAACCTTATATAGAAACAATAGAGGTTGTTAATTTAAGTCTTTTTATAGAAAAAACTTGATTTAAACAACCTTTAAATAGAAAACAGTTATGTATGAACAACAATAATTAACATGTAATTTAATAGAATAAAATATGAGTTTTGTCTGTTTTTATGACTTTTTCATGATGCAATAAATTACTTTGAAATTATATGAATTTTTCAATTTTTTCAGATTTGTATGACTTTTTGAAGATGCAATTAAATACTTTTTCAGGTTTTTCAGATTTGTATGGCTTTTTGAAGTTGCAATTAAATACTTTTTCAGTTTTATATGACTTTTCCATGACTTTAGCCAAATTTGTATAACTTTTTCATAATGAAATATATTAAATTTTCATATTTTTATAACTTTTCATGATGCAAGAACACTTATGACCCAAGGAGAAAATAATACTGTTTTTCTGAAAAATTTAAACTTACTTCTGAAAAATAAAATCATTAAATTATTACTGGCCAAACTTATCTTATTACTGACCAAACATATCTTATTCATGACTATACGTATCATACTTCTGACATTATAATCTTATTCCTGATATATATATATATATATATATATATATATATATATATATATATATATATATATATATATATATATATATATATATATATATATTGTTATTACTGACAATTATAATATTATTCCTGATATTTATATATTTGTTCATGAGTAATATTATCTTATGACAAAAATGTAGTAATCTTTTTTTTTTTTGTTAGGAAATGCAACTACGGATCATTCATTAATAAACACTCCTTGGAGACAATCAATAACAAAGAATTTCTACAACCTTGTAACAATATGTCAAGGGAACGAAGAAGAAACAAAATTATGTGACGATGCTTTGGAACAGATGTACAAATCTGTAAGAAAAGTGTTCCAAACAAATGAAGAAAAAATTCGTGAGCTTGATGAAGAACAAGAGATAAGCTAAGGAATGTTGTAAAAGATCCAAAACGACCAAAAACAAAAGGAAGGCCAAAGAAAAACAAAAGAATTAGAGGACATTTTGAAAGAAGAAGAACAACAACTAGAGATCCAAATGAGTTTGGTACAAAAACTCCAAACCCACAACTCATTTAATATTGAGACATTCATCAAATAATTTTTATTCATTAAAAATATTTGTAAAAAATATTATATTTTCTTCAGGTATATTTTGATTTTGATATTTTAGATTTATAATCAAAATTAAGTTTTGATATTTTTTATTATTCCTGACAGAATTAATCTAATTTCTGAACAAAATAATGCTATTCCTGACTAATATGATTTATTCCCTAATAAAAATCACTTATTTCTTAAATAATATCTCCTAACTGTCTTTTGTTTTTCTTGATAAAAGTAATCTAACTTATGGAAAAACAAGCATGTATACCTGACTGATAATATTAAAGAAAAGAAAATATATACATATATAAATAACTGTAAAAACAAAATTTATCAACCAAAACAAACCTAATATTTATCTTTAAAAAGGAAATATATATACAAAATAAAATTATTTAACTATTGTCTATATTTTGTTGTTCTTCCATTTCCTTTAGTTTCTGCTGCTCCAACTTGTATCTCCTCTCTTTTTCTTTCTCTATAGCAGCCTTTTCCTTCTGATATTGAGCCTCAAGCTTCTTCCTTGCAGGCTGAGCTTTGAAAATTTTGTCTTTGGTAATAGAAAAGGCAATGCAATCATTCCACAATTTCTTGCGCAAAAAATTGTCTTCTCTATTCACCAAATCATAAGCTATTCTGCATCTATACAACTTTCAATTTTTCTTTTGCAAACTTATACAAAAATAAGAACACTAATAAACTATTAGTATAAATCACAACAAATATCAAAAGAGAAAAGCACTTACAATTTTTAAATCAAGAAGTCCTCCATCTAATCCGGTGTAATTTTGCATACACATTAATGCAAAAAGCCCAAAATCATAATTTTTTGTGCTCGTCTTCCAATAAAAAGATGGAATATGCCATGGCAACTTAGTAACCTTTCCGCTAATGGATGTTCATTCTTTTTCAAATAAATAGAAACATCTCTACTATATATATATATAAGCATCTAAAAGTGTAAATTTCAATAAACAGAATGAGATAGTTAGTTTACAAAACCTTACCAAATATTTATCTATTCCATCCAAATTACTTCGATCAATGTCGGTCATGTTATTTATCCAATATATACGTGGAGTTATACCAGGAATAAAATTGAACACCATCAGAGTATAATGATTATGGTACCAAATTGGAAAGGTTATCTGCAAAATAAAAAAACAAAATAAGTTCATCTATTATTTCATATAGTCCAATACCTGATATAAGTCATGTAATATCTGACTAAAACTTGCTAATTTCTGACTTTTAGATGTCTGACTAAATACAACGATACATGAGATGAATTATCTATTACATGACTAAAGCATGATAATTCCTGAATAATAATATCTAATTCTTGATTATATTAATCTAATTCCTGACTAAATATTGTAATGTTTGATTCCTGACCTATATTATGTTAAACTTCAAAATGTTAAATCCAAAACTCTAACTCTAAGACTGTTTAATTCCTAAATAAAATATTATTATGCCTCACAAAAATAGATTAATACATGACATAAGTTATATAATATATGACTATAAAATGTTAATATCTGACTTAGATGTTATAATCCCTTACAAAAATACACAACCTGACTTAGATTGTCAAATTCATGACTAAAACTTGCTTATACCTAATCAATATAATTTAATATCTGATTATAATAATCATTTTTCTGATTTACATTGTTATACCTGACAAAATACAACGATACCTAAGATGAAATATCTAATATCTGACTAAAGCATAGTAATTCCTGACTAATAATATCTTATTCCTGATAATAATAATAGAATTCCTGACTAAATATTGTAATGTTTGATTCCTGACCTATATTATGTTAAACTTAAAAATGTTAAATCCAAAACTATGGCTCCGAGACTGTTTAATTCCTGAAGAAAATATTTTTTATGCCTGACAAAAATAGATAAATAACTGACCATAAAAGCTAATACCTGAATATAACAATATATTACCTGACTAAAGCAAGATATAAAGTTAATAACTTACCAACTCTTCTTCGGCTATGTTGAGCGTTGAAAAACGTTTAACCCACTTATCAATGGAAACATAAAAATCTTGAGCATCATGTATTTTCAATTCTAAAAGAAGCTTTCTTTTTGTCAACTGATCCCTAAACTTTGCATATTCTTTTGGATCATTTTCCAAAGAATTCAAAAAAATTTCCTGTTCTTTGATGTACTTGTCTTCTTTTTTTTTTATATATTTTCTCTCTTTGTTATATATCTATGTATAATCTCCTACAATACAAAAGAATAAAAAATATATTATGTTATATACATAAAAATTCCAAAGATGATAAGTAAAGAAAAAGAAAAAACTTACAGCAACTCCAGTATGAAAAACAAATCTTTTGTACTGAAAAATATCTCTGTCAATTATTTTGTTCTCTTCAATATTCAGCACAGAAGCCCAAGCATCATGAATAGCACTATTAACCTAGACAGAGGGACGCAGCGAACAGAACTCCTCTTTTACCAAAATAATATTGCTTTGGGAAATATATTCAGTGGCAAACTGACATATAACAGTATTAGTATCTTCCACATACAACCTATTGTTACGTGCCTTAACTCCCTCATCTTCTCCTGTAGGATCTAACTCTTTCTCCTCGTCATATTGCCTAAAAAAGAGGAGGTCACACACATATCTTTCATGCTCACTTAAATTTTTCAGATACAAAGGCTTATTTTTCAGCAAACTCCTAGAGAATAATTTGTCGATTTTGAATCGGAATCTTATCAATAGGGGGATATACCCAATCGGAATCACCAGTTGCTTCCAAATTAGCCTGCAATTCCAACTGTTGTTTATCTCTTAAATATTACCATCTCTCAACCCTTTTTTCAGCATATGTATCTGCATCAATAAAGGTAGTTTCAGGTGGATCATTTGCACCAGTAGAAATTTTGTCTACATCAATTAACTGAATGTGTGTTTTAGGAGGCTGAGTTCCTAATTCCATAAGCTCATCTTAAGACAAATCAGTGCACTAGGAGGAGTAGGAGTTTTATCTATTAGAATTAGGTCAGCATTAGGAGCAGTAGGAGATTCTAAAACTACAGTTGGAACCGATTCCTTTGCAACAGATTCCTTTGCAACATATTTACTTCTCAATAAATCTAAAATTGCAGTTGTATCTCTAGGTTGAGCTTCCTGCAAGAAAAATAAAATGTATTAAAATCAAACAAAAGTAATCTAAATCCAAATAATAATAACCTATATTAACACAATATGAATCCTGAATTAAAAATTCTAATTCCTGATAGCAAGATTCTTATTACTGACAAAGGTAATCTAATAGCTGAATGAATAAATCTTT